CCGACTTTCTCATTTCCTTCGTATTGATGTTGACAAAAAATCTCGTTTTCAAGTACCGTCGAATTGTTTCTTTAGTGTAAGTGCATCAATTAGGACGTCATCGTAATCCATCTTCTATTCTTGTAAGAGAGATTAAAAGTAGAGAATTTACATACATCTACTGCATTTTATAACAATAGATTGGTACCAAATAAGGCAATAAAACCAATCCTCGTCCTTGTCCCAGTTGATAAGTAGTGTTATGGGATTAGGAATTATAATTTTCTTGATTTTGGGAACCCTAAAGGAGTTCTTTTATATGGAAAGTAGTTTTTGCTAGAAAGTCTTAAATTTGGTAAGATAAGAGTGATAAAACAGAATACTAAATGAAGGAAAAAAATTTAATTGGATCACTAATTTTAATTTATTTCAGTTGCATACGAGGAATATGAGTTACGCTATGGCTATCCATCAAGTAATATTTGTTATTATTAGTTGGAATTGAACGTGAATTGCATGTTATTCTGAAATATTTTATAAATTCTGTAAAAATAATATTTGATATCAATTTGTTGGGAGGATTTGATGAGTCTCCAACGAACTAAAAAAATAAAAATAAAATATTAGAAATTTAAGAAAGTAAAATTGTTTCAAAACCCAACTTCTATATTTCAATTTTTTTGTGAGATAAAATACTACAAATGAGCAACATTTTTATACTACATTTGGTACATAAGAATTAATTGCTAATACATAAATTTAAACACTTTTTAAAATTCCTAGATACATGAACAGAGAAAAATTCATTTATAATAACTCTAAATTTGTCATCGAGTCAAAATTCATTGAATCTAAATTAATGTAAATGTTAATTAATTGAGAATTAATAACACGAAAATCATATATGACAAGGATTTTGTGGTATTTATTGCGTATTGAAAAACGAAGAGTGATGTGCTATTGAAATGAGTAATGTTATTCATCCCCAGTGGGGATGAAAACACAATTTAGGTGGCTTTAAATGATGGGTTAAATGAAAGATGAAATTAAATGACTTATTTAATTTCATCTATCATTTAATGTCACATTAACGCCACATAGACTGGGGATGCATCCCCACTGGAGATGAATAACATTTCTCATATTCTAACCAGTTACATATATTCTATATTTTTTCAGTATAATTACAATAACAATACACTTACAATGTCAAAAAAATTATTCTCGCTTGATATTATATTTAATATATTATAGATAAATTCATAAATGAAGGTGAATGACAGATACATACGATATATAAATTAACATGAATATTAATTAATTTAGAAAAAATATCAAGTAATATATACGTGACAATGAATATTAAATTAATCTAATTTAATTTCCAATTAAGTGGAACTCGGCGTTAATTAACATACATAGACGTGAATAGTGAACTTCATTCTTGAATGTGGAATTCTAATTAATATTAATTTAATGTTAATTAGTTGAGAATTAATAACATGGACGTAAATGTGAATGCGAAAGTTTAATTAATATTAATTAAATGAACGTAAATGTTAATTAATCGAAAATTAATTATAGTATTTACTATAGTTTGTAAATTAAGTATATATTGAAAAACGAAAAGTAATATTATTGAAATAATTAAATTGTAGTAAGGTTATGGCCATCCAAAAAATTATTTTCATTTGATGTGATATTTAATATATTATAGATAAGAGATAATAAGTGACGGAATTTGATAGGACTATAAAATTTAAAATTACATTAAAGTTGAGTGACTCGTTTGAAACAAATTATAAGTTAAGTGACAACTAATAAATTTACTTGTTTATTATATAAGCTCGTATCAACTAGTGTAGGAGAGGATTTATAATGTCGTGACAGTGTAACTCTACATAAAAAAATCTTTTCGTCTATTGGCATTTACAAAAATAAAACTGAAAATTTATTAAATAACTTATTGTTGAAATTTTTTAAGGTTTCCAATTTCATAATTTACATTTAGAGCATGAGAATTTTCCTCTCATTTTTGGATCCTTTGGAAAAGCAATATAACTGAGAAGGACGTTCTTACTGTGTTTTGTTTTCATGTGATGTGGACTACGTACGGAACACATTATGACTGAGTATTTCCAAGAATCTTTGTCTTTCAATTCGGTCAAATTTGAAGAATAGGTCCAACGTCATGCTTTTCTACCATTCGGTGGAGATTGTGTGCAGGATAACAACTTGCCAAGTTAAATATCCTCATATTTGTACATTATGTAGTAAGTCGATACGGTAGTAAGTCGATACGACTAGTCTTTAGCATCCCCCGAAGAGACAATTACCATAAATTAGCTTCCATTTCTTTCTCAAGTAATGCCCATAAAATTTTCTCCCAAGTTAGCATGAAGCCACTAGTTCATGGAATTGTACTCTAGTAGTAATTCATCGAATTAAATTCTTAGTACGATTTTTCACTAAATAAGACACTAACTATCCTTTACCAGGAGCTAGTGTTGCCCATTATGTCAAACCAACTCATGGGAGTCTGTCATCTAATCCAGAGATTCCTATTAAAAACTTTTTCAAATATAAAAATTCAGTATCAAACGTCAATGTTTACGATCTTCGACAGCGTCTAGGGTCCTCGAACAATGTAATATCTGACACCGAAAGTAGGCGACTCACAAAGGTTAGGTGGTTTTATATCTTAGACTGCACATGGAGTCGAAGATTATGCTTTCGGGCGGGAAGGGGCCCTACAGGCGGGCATCTACCGCAACACAAGCACTGAATGTATTTTATGCTAATTTACTGTCTTTAGCTTGGAAAACATCGTTTTCAATTTCCACCCAACAAAATTGATCGACTATTCCTTTTCTAATAACCTGGATTACCGATATTGATAGATACATGATTTTTTTGTTAATCTTAGTAAGACCAAAGATAAACTATGATCTAAAGAAATTTGACAGTTTTGAATTATCGAATACTTAGACATAACATGCGGAATTACGCAATTAAAAGTATCAAGTCACTTTTTAATTATTTCTAGTGGGTTAGATCAAACTAGTCAATTTATCCTAAATTTGAATACCACGATTAATAATTAAAACAGTAAAGAACATAAAAAATAATCACGCAGAAATCTCAAGTCGGTAAAAACTCCAAACGTTTTGTCAGTCGATAATCCACTATAAATCGAAGCAAACTTGCACTATGGTCCAAACCCGTCTAACTCGTCGAACTTCCGACCTCAATTCCTGGAGTCTTTCTTAATCTTACTGGAGGTGTGCTCCCTCAAAACAAATTCTAACTTCTGGTTTATAGCTTAGCCCTCGTGCGTGCTCCGACGCCAGATCCCGATTTCTGGTATGTAACACCCCAAATTTTCATACGTTTTCATAAGATGTAAACTTAATATTGGTCATTTAGTAAATGGAATAGTACATGTCTAATATGTCGTCACACTAAAATTCAAAAGTTGAAGTGATAAACTCGACCAACTTATTTGCATAAAGAATTTATTTGCTTACGTGTACTTTTTAAAATTTATCGTAAATTTAATTTGGGTCGAATATTTAAGTATTATAGTAGTTGATGAAATATATCAAATATTATATTCATTTTGTAGCTCGTATTAAATAAAATAATTTGGAATAAGAAAAAAATGATTTTGAACTAGTTATGTTCGAATTATTCTAATAGAAAGAAAAAAAATGTTATCTCTAATATTTTATTAATACGGAAAATTGCAGCAGTGATACTAAACATTTCATTAAGTAGCAAATTTTGATCAAACCTTTCATTTGTGTCACCCACGATACCAAATCTTTCAAAATGTCGCAACTGAAGTTCAAATGGATGAAAACTGTTAGTTTCATTTGTGTTAGTTTAGCTTTAGAGAGATTGAAGAGAAGTTGGGTTGAAAAATTGTGTTTCGGTTGAACATGCCAGTAGCTTAAATTAGATAAAGAAGATTTTTGGTAACACTTCAACTTTATTTTTTCCTATTTTTATTTAAAAGAAATTTAAAAAAAAAATAGATTTTGGGGCGTTACATGGTACCTCACCTTAATTTTCTTGAATTTGTTTTTTTGCAACAGTTTCCGATCTCCGGTATCAATTTTTCTCCGGTGAATTAGGTGGTTTGATGTTTGATCAAAAGATTTTGTGTGTTTTGATTTGTAGTTTAATATGAAAAAATATGACTTCAACAAAATATGTTTTGGAAGAATTTATGGATCAAGTAATAAGTAGTGGTTGAATTTTGGAATCAATAAATGTTTTGGATCATCAAAGAATTGATATCTATAAAATAAATCTGATTCAACACATTTTTGGATGTTCATATGATCGGATATATATAGAGTAGAGTGCTTGACATGAAAGTGGATTGAAAAATCAAGTTTTTGAAGCAAAACAGATATCTAAATGTCGACAAATCGCTCGAGTTTCAACCCAGCGACAGACGAGTATATCATAATTTTCTCTCCCGACGTCCGATTAAAGTGATTCAAAATAATTGGAAAGCTAACTTAAAATGCTACAATTTTTCTTAGTCTTATCCAAATTTCAATTTTTTTATTTGAAAAATGCGTTGCAAGTTGCGATTGAGAATTTAGAGCATAACTTGTGCAATACTTTTACATTTCTTTGACTTCTAATTGCATTTTAATGATCATATGTGATATTCTTGGACACCTTGTACTCTTTTAAAACCTATATACTACCAATTCAATTCCTTTGACTTTAATTAGGATTCAATAACTCATATTTTGATTTTGATTACAACTCGAAAAACTCCTAATACAATTCAATTAGGACATGATTTTGACAAAAAAAAATTGTCAATTATAATTTGGATTCAACAAAATTTAAAAAGAAACAACTTCAAATACCGAAATTTCGTTGAACAACAGTGTTATACACATTTTCTCGACCGAACGCAAGAAAAGGTGAAGTCCTAAAGAATTAAGAACAAAAATTTCAGCATGAGTAATCCGTGGAATTTCCGGTGAATTTGTACTTCAGCGCCCTTTTCTTGCATTCACTTCCTGGGTCGGGAATGCTTTGGCTTTACAGATGGGACAAAAAGTTTTTCGAGACAACCACTTTTTTATGCAATCGACATGGTACTCATGTCCACACACAAGACTTCCCACTTTCTCATTTTCTTCGTATTCACATTGACACACTACACAAATTTCCGGACCTTCATCGATGGCATTCGCCGCTTTGATGTAAACAAAATTTCTTGTTTTCAAATGCCGTCGAATTGTTTCTTCTGAGAAACCAGTTTCTTCTTCTGAGGAACCGGTTTCTCTACTAGCGTTCCGATCAACTTCCCGCCTTAAGACCATCTCAAGATATCTAAGAACTTCAGCGTCACTATCTAAATCAGTCCCTGTCTGCCTCAAGTATCCATCTCTGTTTACTTGTACAGGACGAGGAGCAACCACGTCAGCAGATACAACGGTGCTATCGTCTGAAACAAACGATGTTTGATCCGAATGCGTTTCTTCCCTAACTTGTATAGGACGAGGAGGCGAATAACTTGAACGAGAATAGTCATCCATCTAGTTTTCCTGCATTAGTTGCGTCTGATCAGCCTTCTTTATGGTCAAGTAACAGAGATTAAAAGCTGAGAATTTATTGCAAAAGAAGTGACTGATTCTGATTAGGACTGTGAATCCTTCTTCTTGTTTAATTATAATATGATTGAAATCTGAGCTTATGAGGAAGAAGACGTGATTTATGTATATATGATTAGATTTGCGTTTTCGAGCACGTCTATCTTATATAAAGAATAAATTATTCGAATTTTTACCTGAATTGATGATTAATTCTTGAATTGAATCAGAATCATGAATTTCCAACTTTTTGGATCACGAACTTTCTGCTTTTATTTCCAGAAACTCGATGTTCCAACCTCCGAATTTTCTATAATATTCTATAAAGTCGAGATTATACAAGTGAGTGACTTTTTGGATTAAATCAATAAACTAATTCTTCGACTAGACATATGAATATAGAAGAAAACAATTTTTTTCCCCTTTTTACTCTCCAAATTTGAACGTTTATTGAAAAATTATTATATTTTGTCGTAGGATTTTTTTGCTTCCATCTAGTCTCTATTTATAGAGATAAAACGGTTCTAATTCATATACAATAATAACTTCAATTACCGTCCAAATAGGAGTCCTAATTAAAATCGAAATAGAAGTTTCAATTAAAGTTCAAATCCAAATAACTTATATTTAATTATAAAATAAAATACCTAAATACCCTTCCCTGGCACTTCATCCTTAATACAGATTGAGGGCAATTATATGCTTTTAAAATTGACGATAATCATCAAGTTTGCCCATTTAATATTTTGTAAGCGACTACAAGAAAAAATTCCAGTCACGTTCCTATTTAATTCTTGAATATCCAATTAAAAATTATTGAAATTCGGGTCCAAACTCGTAACACGACCTAGAAAAATTTAAAAATTACTAAAACATTAACAATTCATAAAGTGGCCATATCATCATATCTCAATTTTAAAAATTAAATGTGAACTCGGAAAATTGAGGCAAGGGTACAGAAAGTCGAAAAGTGCGGAAATTGCATGTTCTCTTTATCATTTTCAAGTCGTTTTCTGTTTTCGTTTTTCCAAAATATTGAAAACGCGTTCTCTTTCCTATTTTTGAAAACACGTTTTTGAAAATAAGTTAAAAATTTATAAAGAAAACCCGTTTTGGGTGTTTTCAGTTATAATCAAGTCAAAATTTTCAAAACGCGTTTTGGGTATTTTCAAAGCAATTTTTCAAATTGTCAAAAAAACATTTTCAACAATCTCAAAATGAACGCTCAAAACACAAAACCCAACATGGATTCAAAAATCAAAACACAAAATCGAAACACAAAGATACGTAAAGAACAACCAGTGTTTGTTTAGGAGAAATTATAATAAAAATGTGTAATAGGTTTACCGAAATATGTAGATAAAAAGTAAATAGTTGTTGTGAATGTGTGGTTGAAACTAATTTTTGACTATAAATTATTATGAGATCATAATTTTTAAAACAAGAATGGTATTTCAACGTCTTAAAAACGCTATAGAATGGTTTAGGAAAAACATCATAAAATAAAATTCTGTCTTTATTACATGTAGTATTTCGATTGGCTGAAAATTTTCCCATATATAATGTGAAATGTAAATTTAAATGAAAAATAATTTAAAATATTATTTTATATATTGTGTAGTATATCCATTTTCGATTGTGCCGAATCTACCCCAGCTTGCCTAAAATTATACAGGGTGTGAATGACTTGTGCTTGGTTGAGCCACTACATAAATTAGCCCTTTAGCTAAAAATATTGATCAAAATTTAAATTTAAATTAATAATTAATTTTAATCATACATTTTATAGGACTTATAAATTTACCAAAATTTACCAAAAATCTAACTTTTAGCAAACCAAACGAGGGCTAATTTTTACCATAAGTTTGCATTAATTATATTTAAATATAGGTCAACATTTTCCTCACCCAAGATTAAGACCACGACAAATTTTAACACAACGAGCTAAGTCCCTATTTGACAACCATTAGAAAGAGTTTTTTTTTTTTTTTT